CTGGAACACTTGGGAAGGTGACGCTGGTTTGTCACCTCGAGCGGAGGAGAAGAGCTGGATCCCAGGTTTCTCTGGATTGGATCCCGGTTTTCCTTGGCCACATCCCTGCTCTGGGATGTTCCAGGGGCCAGGGGGACAATGATCCCAAAACCATGGAGTTCCGTGGAGCCGGGAAAACAGGCAGGGAATGGTCCTGGAATACTTGGGAAGGTGACACTGGTTTGTCACCTCGAGTGGAGAAGTGAAGTGTCAGATTTCCCTGGATTTTATCCCGGTTTTCCTTGGACACATTCCTGCCCTGGGATGCTCCAGGGGGCAGAGGGACAATGATCCCAAAGCCATGGAGCTTCCTGGAGCCGGGAAAACAGGCAGGGAATGGTCCTGGAATACTTGGGAAGGTGACACTGGTTTGTCACCTCGAGTGGAGAAGTGAAGTGTCAGATTTCCCTGGATTTTATCCCGGTTTTCCTTGGACACATTCCTGCCCTGGGATGCTCCAGGGGGCAGAGGGACAATGATCCCAAAACCATGGAGTTCCGTGGAGCCGGAAAAACAGGCAGGGAATGGTCTTGGAGCCGGGAAGGTGACACTGGTTTGTCACCTCGAGCGGTGAAAGGAAGTGTCAGATTTCCCTGGATTTTATCCCGGTTTTCCTTGGACACATCCCTGCTCTGGGATGCTCCAGGGGGCTGGATGGACAATGATCCCAAAGCCATGGAGCTTCCTGGAGCCGGGAAAACAGGGAAGGATCCTGGAATACTTTGGAAGGTGACACTGGTTTGTCACCTCGAGCAGAGGGGAGGAGCAGAGCTGGATCCCGAGTTTCCCTGGATGAGATCCCAGTTTTCCTTGGCTGCATCCCACTCTCCCGGAGCAGGGAGGTCTGGCTGAGTCCCAGCAGGACACGCCAGGGCTTGGATCCTTCCCAGGCCCGGCTTTGGCAGGAGCAGCTCCAGGAAATCTCCGGAGCTCCGGGAGCGCGTGTCCGGCCCTTCCCACCCTCGGATGACTCCGGGCTTGGAATGAGCCAAGGCAGCTGCTCCGGAGGCTGGGAGGGGACATTCCCACCCTCGGGAACGGGGATGGGAGGAGGAGAGGGCAGCGGGAATCATCCCGGAGCGGCTCCACCCAGATCCGACAAAATCCGGGAGAAGCTCCAGGGACTCCCGGGATGTTTTCCAGCTGGGAGAAACTCCGCGTTCTCCCGGATCCAGGAGGACACGCCCCGGGGGTTTCCAGGCTCCGGTTGGGCCTGGAAGGGGGGGATCCGAGGTCGGAGGAGGGTCGGAGCCGAGGTCAGGGAAGGACAGGGTGTTCCGGAACGCCGGGAGAGGTGGCCCCATGCCTGCTGGGAAGGAGCCAGGGAACAGTCGGATTCTGGAACAGGGAGGTCCTGGCAGGGTCCCGAAATGTCCCGTTAACCCCAAAGCTCCCGGAGGGAGCTTTGGGGTTAACGGGACATTTCGGGACCCTGCCGTTATCCCGGGTCGCTCCAGGTCCTGTCCGAGCGGGATGGAACACCCAGGGCTGGACATTCCCACCCAGAGCGGGACAATCCCACCCCCTGTTGGACATTCCCACCCAGTCTTGGACATTCCCAGCCACTGTTGGACATTCCCAAACACAGTTGGACATTCCCACCCTCTCCTGGACATTCCCGACTGTTTTTGGACATTCCCAAGCTCTGTTGGACATTCCCACCCAACTCTTGGACAAACCCAACTCTTGGACAAACCCAACTCTTGGACATTCCCACCCACCCTTGGACATTCCCACCCACTCTTGGACAAACCCAACTCTTGGACATTCCCAGTCATTGCTGGACATTCCCACCTTCAGATGGACATTCCCACCCACTCTTGGACATTCCCAAGCTCCGTTGGACAAACCCAACTCTTGAACAAACCCAACTCTTGGACATTCCCACCCACTGCTTGACATTCCCAACTGTTGTTGGACATTCCCAAGCTCTGCTGGACATACCCAACTCTTGGATGCACCCAACTCTTGGACAAACCCAACTCTTGGATGCACCCAACTCTTGGACATTCCCACCCACTGTAGGACATTCCCAGTCACTCTTGGACAAACCCAACTCGTGGACATTCCCAAGCCCTGTTGGACAAAATCAACTCTTGGACTCACCCAACTCTTGGACATTCCCACCCACTCTTGGACAAACCCAACTCTTGGACATTCCCACCCACTGCTTGACATTCCCAACTGTTGTTGGACATTCCCAAGCTCTGCTGGACACACCCAACTCTTGGACACACCCAACTCTTGGACAAACCCAACTCTTGGCCATTCCCACCCTCCGTCGAACATTCCCACCTGCCGTTGCCCATTCCCGCCCCGTGGCCATGCCGGCGTTCCCGGGATATCCCTGGGGAGTCCTTCCCATCCCGGTGTGTCCCTGGGAATTCCCTCCCATCCCGGTGTGTCCCTGGGGATTCCCTCCCATCCCGGTGTGTCCCTGGGAATTCCCTCCCATCCCGGTGTGTCCCTGGGGATTCCCTCCCATCCCGATGTGTCCCTGGGGATTCCCTCCCATCCCGGGATGTCCCTGGGGAGTCCCTCCCATCCCGGTGTATCCCTGGGAATTCCCTCCCATCCCTGGGGAGTCCCTCCCATCCCGGTGTATCCCTGGGAATTCCCTCCCATCCCGGGGATTCCCTCCCATCCCGGTGTGTCCCTGGGGATTCCCTCCCATCCCGGTGTGACCCTGGGAATCCCCTCCCATCCCGGTGTGTCCCTGGGGAGTCCCTCCCATCCCTGCGTGTCCCTGGGGATTCCCTCCCATCCCGGTGTGACCCTGGGGATTCCCTCCCATCCCGGTGTATCCCTGGGAATTCCCTCCCATCCCGGGGATTCCCTCCCATCCCGATGTGTCCCTGGGGATTCCCTCCCATCCCGATGTGTCCCTGGGGATTCCCTCCCATCCCGGGATGTCCCTGGGGAGTCCCTCCCATCCCGATGTGTCCCTGGGGAGTCCCTCCCATCCCGGCGTGTCCCTGGGGATTCCCTCCCATCCCGATGTGTCCCTGGGGATTCCCTCCCATCCCGGCGTGTCCCGGCAGGTCCCGAGGAAGGCTCCCTGCGGCTGGTGAACGGTTCGGGGCCGCACGAGGGGCGCGTGGAGATCCTGCACGGGGGCCGCTGGGGCACCGTCTGCGACGACGGCTGGGACGGCCCCGACGGAGCCGTCGTGTGCCGGGCCCTGGGATACCCCGGAGCCGACGACGTCTTCCGCATGGCCCGCTTCGGGCAAGGTGGGAATCGACCCCGGGGAAACGCCGGGATGGCTCCCCAGGGGAACGGGGAAAGGCCGCGGGGTGGGATCCGGGAGGTGCCGGGAGAGGGATTGGCCAACCCGGCCTGGGATGTTCCCAGGGATCCGGGACGGGGGTGGTTTGGTCCCGGGGTGTCCTCATCCCGGGAATGCCACAGTTTGGGTGGATCCTGGGAATGGTTTGGGTGGGAAGGGACCGCAAAGCTCATCCAGGTCCAGCTGGAACAGGGACACTTCCCGCTGTCCCAGGGAATCCAACCCGGCCTGGGACACTCCCAGGGATCCAGGGGCAGCCCCAGCTTCTCTGGGAATTCCAGCCCAGCCCCTCCCCACCCTCCCAGCCAGGAATCCCTTCCCAATCTCCCCCCCAAATCTCCCCTTTCCCACTGGGATCCATTCCCTGGGGCCTGGCATTCCAGGCCCTGAGCCCCAGGCCCTCTCCAGCTCTCCTGGAGCCCCTTCAGGCTCTGGAATGTGCTCCAAGCTCTCCCGGGATCCTTCCCAAATCCAGCCTGGCCATTCCCAGCTCTCCCAGCCTGGAGCCAGAGCCTGCCATTGGATCCAGCCCCAGCCCAGCTCCTCCCTGGGAAGGAGTTCCGGGAACAAGGGGGTTCCCTGGGAATCTCGGCACTCAGGGCAGGGTCTCCCTTCCCCTTTCCCGCCTTTTCCATCCCCACATTCCAGAAAACCCCCTCTGCCTGGATTCTGAGTGTCCTTTAACCTGGAACAGTTTGGGTGGGAAGGGACTTTAAGGACCATCCCATTCCATGTTCAGGGACACCTCCCGCTATCCCAGGGAATCCAACCCGGCCTTGGACACTCCCAGGGATCCAGGGGCAGCCACAGCTTCTCTGGGAATTCCAGCCCAGCCCCTCAGGGTGCCCCTTTCTATCCCTGTGTGTATGCCCGTGCATTCCCATGTCTATCCCGGCATTCCCTGTGTATTCCCGTGTATCCCTGCATTTCCATGTCTATCCCGGCATTCCCTGTCCCCCTCAGGCTCCGGCAGGATCTGGATGGACGACGTTTCCTGCACGGGCTCCGAGGATTCCCTGGAGCTCTGCAGCTTTTCGGGATGGGGACGGACCAACTGCGGGCACGCCGAGGACGCGGGGGTCAGGTGTCGGACCCCCTGACATTTTGGGGTCAGGTGTAGGACCCCCTGAGATTTTGGGGTCAGGTATCGGACCCCCCTGAGCTTTTGGGGTCCCCACAGACCCCTCTGAGCTTCTGGGGTCAGGTGCCAGACCCTCTGAGCTTTTGGGGTCCCCACAGACCCCCTTGAGCTTTGGGGTCAGGTGCCAGACCCCCTGAGCTTTTGGGGTCCCCATGGACCCCCTGACATTTGGGGTCAGGTGCCCACAGACCCTCCTGAGGTTTTGGGGTGCCCACAGACCCCCCTGACATTTGGGGTCAGGTGCCAGACCCCCCTGAGATTTGGGATCCCCACAGACCCCCTGACATTTGGGGTCAGGTGCCAGACCCCCCCGACATTTGGGGTCAGGTGCCAGACCCCCCTGACTTTTTAGGGTCCCCACAGACCCCCCTGACATTTGGGATCAGGTGCCGGACCCCCCTGAGATTTGGGATCCCCACAGACCCCCCTGAGCTTTGGGCTCAGGTGCCAGATGCCCCCTGAGATTTTGGGGTCGGGTACCAGACCCCCTGAGCTTTTGGGGTCCCCACAGACCCCCCTGACATTTGGGATCAGGTGTCAGACCCCCTGACATTTGGGGTCCCCACAGCCCCCTCTGAGCTTTTGGGGTCAGGTGCCGGACCCCCTGAGATTTGGGGTCCCCACGGACCCCCCTGACATTTGGGGTCAGGTGCCAGACACCTCTGAGCTTTTGGGGTCCCCACAGACCCCCCTGAGCTTTTGGGGTGCCCACAGACCCCCCCTGAGATTTGGGGTCAGGTGTTGGACCCCCTGAGCTTTTGGGGTCCCCACAGACCCCCCTGAGCTTTTGGGGTCCCCACGGACCCCTCTGAGCTTTTGGGGTCCCCACAGACCCCCCCTGAGCTTTTGGGGTCCCCACAGACCCCCCTGAGCTTTTGGGGTGCCCACAGACCCCCCCTGAGATTTGGGGTCAGGTGTTGGACCCCCTGAGCTTTTGGGGTCCCCACAGACCCCCCTGAGCTTTGGGGTCAGGTGCCAGACCCCCCCTGAGATTTTGGGGTCCCCACAGACCCCCCTGAGGTTTTGGGGTGCCCACAGACCCCCCGGGGGGGCTCATCCCCCCCCCGCATCCCGCTGGGCCTTGGGAAGGGTTTTATTCCCGGAGAAATAAAGGAATAAAGGAGGTTTTGTTCTTCCCGAGGGGTTGGAGGAGATGGGGTTGGGGGGAAGGTTTTGGGGGGGTCGAGGGGTTTTGGGGGGTTTGGGGGGGTTAAAGGGCAATGGGGGTTTAGGGGGTTTTATGGGGTTAAGGGGAGAAAGGGGGGGTCAAAGAATGATGGGGATTTTGGGGGGTTTATGGGGGTTTTAGGGGTTTATGTGGTTTTATGGGGTTAAGAGGGAAAGGGGGGGTCAAGGAGCGATGGGGATTTTGGGGGGTTTATGGGGTCGGGGGGGGTCAAAGAGCAATGGGGGATTG